ACTATCCTTAGAAAATCCTAAAGATGCCGCCAAAGAACTACTAGAACTCATCAAGGATTTGGTAAAGTTGCAAAATACAAAATTAATATACAGAAATCTACTGCATTTCTATATATTAACAAACTATCAGAAAGAAAAATTAAGTAATAAATTAATCACATTTATAATCACATCAAAAAGAATAAAATATCTAGGAATAAACCTAAGGAGGTAAGAAATCTAGACTCAGAAAACTATCAGATACTGATGAAAGAAACCAAAGACAACACAGATGGACATACTGTGTTCATGGACTGGAGGAAGTAATATTGTTAAAATGGCCATGCTACCCAAGGCAACCTGCAGATTCAATGCAATCCCTATCAAAATACCAGGGGCATTTTTCACAGAACTAGAATAATTCTAATATTTGGATGGAAACATTAAAAAAACCCAAATAGCCAAAATAATCTTGAGAAAGAAGAACAGAGCTGGAGGTATCACGCTCCCTGATTTCAAACTATATTACTAAGCTACATTAATCAAAACAGGACAGTACTGTCACAAAAACAGACACAAACATTAATGGAACAAAACAAAACAAAATAAAGAAATGAACCCATACTTACATGAGCAATTAATCTACAACAAAGGAGGCAAGAATATACAATGGGGAAAAGACAGCCTCTTCAATAAATGATGTTGGGGAAACTGAACAGCTACATGCAAAAGAATCAAGCTGGACTACTCTCTCACACCATGCAGAAAAATACATTCAAAATGGATTAATGACTTAAACGTAAGACCTGAAACCATAAAACTTCTTAAAGAACACCCAAGTAGTAAGCTCTTTGACATCAGTCTTAGTAATATTTTTTTGGATATGTCTCCTCAGGCAAAGAAAACAAAAGTAAAAATTAACAAATGGGACTACATCAAACTTAAAAACTTTTGCACAGCAATGGAAATGATTAATAAAATGAAAAGGCTGCCTACTGAATGGGAGAAGCTATTTCCAAATCATGTATCTGATAAAGGGTTAATATCAAAAATATAAAAAGAACCCATACAATTCAACATCAAAAAACAAACAACCTGATTGAAAACTGTGCAGAGGATCTCAACAGACATTCTTCCAAAGAATATATAGCCAACAGGCAAATGAAAAGATACTCAACATCACTAATCATCAGGGAAATGCAAAACAAAACCACATTGAGATATCACCTCACACCTGTCAGAATACCTATTATCAACAAGACAACAAATAACAAGTGTTGGTGAGGATGTGGAAAAAAGGGGAACCCTTGTGCACTATTGGTGGGAATGTGAATCAGTGCAGCCACTATGGAAAACAGTATTGAGAGTTCTCAAAAAATTAAAAATAAAATTACCAAAGTTCCAGCAATGCCACTCCTGGGTATTTATATGAAGAAAACAAAAACACTAATTAGAAAAACTAGATGCACCTCTACATTTATTGCAACATTATTTACAATAGCCAAGATATGGAAGCATCCTAAGTGCCCATCAATAGATGAATGGATAAAGAAGATGTGGAGTGTGTGTGTGTATATACATACACACACACACACACACACACATATACACAAAATGCAATATTACTCAGCCATAAAAAAGAATGAAATCTTTCCATTTGCAACAACATGGATGGACCTATAAGGTATTATGCTAAGTGAAATGAGTCAGAGAGAGAAAGACAAATACCATATGATTTCACTTATGTGTGAAACCTAAAAAACAAATGAACAAACATAACAAAATCAAAACAGTTATATTTACAGAGAACAAATAGGTGGTTGCGAGAGAGGTGGGAGGAGGAATGAAATAGGTGAGGGGGATTAAAAGGTACAAATTTCTAGTTGCAAAATAAATGAATCACAGGTATAACATGTACAGTGTGTGGAATATAGTCGATAACTATGTAATAGCTTTGTAGGATGATAAATTTTAACTAGATGTTGTGTAATAGGAAATAACAATGTTGTGGGTCAATTATACTTCAAAAACTAACTCATAGAAAAAGAGATCAGGACCTAGAGACTATCATACAGAATGAAGTAAGTCAGAAAGAGAAAAACAAATACCATATGCTAACACACATATATGGAATCAAAAAAAAAAAACAACAATGGTTCTGAAGAACCTAGGGTCAGGACAGGAATAAAGACGCAGACGTAGAGGACATGGGGAGGGGGAAGGGTAAACTGGGATGAAGTGAGAGAGTGGCATGGACATATACACACTACCAAATGTAAAATAGCTAGCTAGTGGGAAGCAGCCACATAGCACAGGGAGATCAGCTCGGTGCTCTGTGACCACCTAGAGGGGTGGGATAGGGAGGGTGGGAGGGAGGGAGACACAAGAGGGAAGAGATATGGGGATTATGTATACATATAGCTGATTCACTTTGTTATACAGCAGAAACTAACACACCATTGTAAATCAATTATACTCCAATAAAGATGTTAAATAAATAAATACATAAATAAATAGAAAAAGAGATCAAATTTGCGGTTAACAGAGCCAGGGGTGGAGGGAGGGGGAGTTGGATGAAGGCAGATGAAAGGTACAAACTTTCAGTTATGAGATAAATAAGTACAAGGGATATAACGTACAACATGATAAACATAATTAACACTGTTTTACATTGCATATGAAAGTTAAGAGTTGTTAAAAAGTTGTTAAATCCTAAGAGTTCTCATCACAAGGCAAAAAATTTTTTTCTATTTCTTTAATATCTATATGAGATAATGGATGTTCACTAAACTTATCATAATAATCATTTCATGATGTAAGCCAAATCATTATGCTCCACACCTTAAACTTACATAGAGTGCTATACATCAATTATATCTCAAACTGGAAGAAAAAAAGTACTGTCATAATATTAACATGAAAAACAATGGTGAAGAACTAGAATGAAGACTATAAAAATTACGGTGCTAAAAATAGTTGATGTTCTACTGCCATAAACTTTTTCAAAACTTAAGCACAACCACTTTTATGTATATAAAGTATGAATATATGAAGTTACGTGTGACACTTTTCAACTTACTTTTTTTAAACGTAAACTTTTCAATTTACATTTTTTAAAATTTAGGGAAAAAATCGACAGGTGGAGACCCTATATTGTTTACAAGTTTGCTTCCAAGGCTCAGGAATGCACTACTCAACTGAGGCTGCATTTGAACGGGTGACAGAAAGAGCAACACACTCAATACGTTCACCAATAAAAGAAACTTTCAAGAGTATGATGCATAGCATTTATGTTGATAAAAATCCAACTACCCATTGCTGAGCAAGTCCTTCAATTAGAAGTACACCAAGCTTCCATGGAATATTCGCAGGCCAAGTGATGTAGGCACCACACAGCGTGCACACGTGATACCTGCACTCTTCCTAGTTGAGGGAGTTCTCCCAGTTCCGCTATCACCTCCCCTGGGACCTGGACTTGGCTTACTCTGCATAAGGGATTTCCCTTAGGCAAGCTCTCTCAGTTCATCCTGCCATGTGTCTCTTATCTCAAGCCACCTCTACACCAAACGTGAATTATTAAAACGCACTTGTTCATTGATACACTTTATTTCTTGGCAAACAAGTAATCTACATCCTTGCTACTCAAGAACGGTTCCTCCTCCAGCCGCAGGTAGGAGCTTATAAGAAATAAAGAATACCAAGTTGCATCACAGATCTACTGAATCACAATTTGCATATTTAAACAGGAGCCCCAGGGGATTCCTAGGCACACTGAAGTTTGAGAAGAACTGCTCTACAGGACTGTACTGCAGATAGCTGTAAAAATTAAAAATGCTCGTTTACAACTGAATTTAGAGATAAGATGTGAAAACTACCAAGACGTAGAATCAGAAAAGCTCCTTAAGAATATTAACCAACACATAAATGAATTTATCACTGATATCAAAGGTGCTCAAAGGTTTACTTTCAACGGTGTAATAGCGCACGCTCATAATATATAGGGACTACATAATCATATATTGGGGCTATATTTTGTGGTACAAAGAATACAAAAGAATGACTGGGTCTAGAAATTTCAGCGCAATCCGGCCCAAAGGTGTGCAACCTGCATTCTAAAATTTGGGGAGTCAGAATTCGATGGTGACAAGTGAAACTCTTTCCGGATAATTATTCAGAAAAAAATCTAAAAGATGTGAATTTTAAACATAAATCATATCCTGGAAGTAAAACTACTTAATAGCTACTGAACAAACTCTAGGTCACTTGTAGAATCAGGAAACTGTTTTGGAGGTTGGTGCTCCTTTTTCCAAGAAACGGCAGGGGCGGGGGGAGGCGGTGAGCCGTTAAAAAAAAAAAAAAAATCAACGTTCATCCTCTGCAAAGTTTTCTCATAGCCTGAAAGGCCTCAACTTGCATGTTCCTACAGGTGAAAAAACTGAAGTCGTACTCAAACAAGGTCACGTTTCCATCTTGAAAAGTGAAAGGCTTTTTTCTCTTCTCAAGGCTGCACTTTAAAACATTTGGGGATTCCGGGTCCTTTGGCTTCCGGCCCGCAAAGGAAGCGTGCTGCCCGGGGCTGAAAGGAACAGGGAAATCTACCAAGTAGGAAGTGGAGCCCGGGTCCGGCCACCAGGCTCTGCCTTCTCGTTGCAGGGGGCCCTGCGGCCGGGACCCCTGCGGCCGGGACCCCAAAGGGCAGGCAGGCAGGCAGCAGGCTGGGGAACAGCCCCCCCGGCCCCGCCGCCCCGGAGCGAAAGAGCCTACTCTCCCGCCACCCAGCCCCCGCCCTCCCGGGATGCGCACACGCGGAGGGCGCTGCGAGTCCCCGTCCGTGGCGGCGGCGGCGGCGGCACCACAGGCCTGCCAGGGAGGCGGCGGCGGAGCAAGGGGAGGCGGGACTCGTCCTGAGAGGCTGAGGGGAGACCGGGGCGGGAGCGTCTGCATGTGGGGGCTGCACTGGAGGAAGGCGGAGGCGCTCAGGGGGCCCGGGCTGCTTTACGATTATCATTATTTTGTTTTACCTGTGGCGCAGGAGGGCTCCCCAGCTCCTACTCCCTGAATCCTCCTCCTCCTCCCCTCCTCTTTCTCTCTCCCTCAGTCTCTGCTGGGCGCTCGTGGTGCCGGCCGGGCCGGACCCGACCAGAGAGAGAACAGGCCGGGAGGGGGTGGCGGCGGCGGTGACCAGCGGCCACGTGACCACGCCCGCGCCGTAACGGCGGCCGCCTCCTACCTCGCGCCCTCCCCGCGCTCCACCTCTAATAACCCCGCGGCTCGCGCGCCCAGGACGCTGGTGCGCAGGCGCCCGCCGGGGCCCGGAGACTGCGCGGGCGCGACGCGCTTGCTCTCGGGGCCGGGCCTGTGGGGCCCCGCGAGGCGCGAGGCGGAGAGGGAGCCGCGGGCCGAGCCCTCCTCCGCTGCCGCTAGAGCGCATGCGCAGGATGGCCTTTTTTTTTTTTTTTTTTTTTTTTTTTTTTTTTTTCTCCCCCCCTGTTCTTTTTTTCCCCTTTTTTTTTTTTCCTTTTCCTCCCCCCCCCCCCCCCCCCTGCCTGGCTGTCTCTGTCTCCTTC